ATGTTCATTAGAGGTACGATTTTCCTAGCTTGGCCAAAGTTCTTTGGCGTCCATAGTATTTGTGTCAGAAGAAATTTTGTGGATACAGATTCACATAAATCAAAGGGAAAAAATAAACATATTACGAATGGGCAAACGTTGCTTATGCGATGCTTTTCCCATGTATAAATCTCTGAGTGCGGAAACAATTTGAGCGTACGAAGCTGATAAAACTCCCTCCCGTCCTGACGTTTCAAAAGCCCCCCCTCTAAAAATAGACGATATAAGTCACAAGTTTTCGCTGCAAAACAAACACGATTTATTTAACGAATGGCCGGGCCAAATGGCAAACGGTCCAAACGGAGATCGACGGTATTTCGCCGACCTGCTAACCACTCGAGCCGTTAGCTCGTAAGCTTGAAAAGCACTTGTCGCCCTGTTGAGGTGCTTTTCAACCGAACCTTGACATTGGCCTCTGGGACAAGGAACACGGCCCATTTTCTTTTCCTCTGCCACGGCCGACTGAATCACCTACCGAATCTATACATCTATGTTTATAACGTAGCGATTGTTTTTGTGTCGACAGCACGATCTATAAGGAAAGAAGTGCACAGACAATCGAGAGGTAAGACCACATTTAGAAAGACAGCTTTGATTCCGTGTTCACGTGATTTCCTGCCGATTATTCAAATTAAGTAGCTTTGCCATGAAGGATTATTTGCCGTTTGTTGAGAATTAATGATAATTTGTTCTAATAAACGATATTATGTATGTGTGATTGTTTTATAAATGTAAGGTCCATTTTCAAACTTATCCCAATTTTTATTCCAAACTATCGGTGGTAGGGAAGCTTTTTATTCATGTGGAAAGTCGGAACAATTTTTCTGCTACAAAATTAAAGTATCCATTCCCTCCAAAATTAAAATTTCAACTCGCAGACCTTATGAACAAAGTTTTTTCAGTGTCTGTCTGTCTGTGGTCAATTCCATGTAACCGGGAAAACTCCGAGACCAAATTTTATGTAATTTTCAGATTGGTTTCTAGATGATCCCCTATGAAACAACATATGCTACTCATGCGCATGCACTCAAAAAATTCGGATTCTTATGAAATTTTCAGAGATTGGTTTCTAGATGATCCCATATGAATCAACATATGCTGCTCATGCGCATGCACTCAAAAAATTCGGATTCTTATGAAATTTTCAGAAATTGGTTTCTCGATGATCCCCTATGAAACAACATATGCTGCTCATGCGCATGCACTCAAAAAATTCGGCTTATGAAATTTTCAGGGATTATATGGATTGCTTTCTAGATGATCCATTATGAATTTTATACCAATCGGATTAACAAATGCAAATCGGTATGCGCAAACATAAAATCCCGTACACAGCTATATCTTTGAAACCATTTCACGGATTTTGATATAAATCAGTGGTCCCAAATGTTCTTGCTCTAACATAATTCTAATATCGAATGTCATCATCGTTTACACATATAAACATACGGTGACGTGTAATTGGACGACAACATGATATTTCTCTATGTAGGTTCATGAACTACACACATTCCCGCTTATAAATACATTCTCATGAAACACTTTATACAGTGTACATCTACCTGCAAACTGTTTCTATTTTTTTCCTAGTCAAATTAAGAAACTGCGAAACCTGGGCCCCATTGATGAAACAGAAAGTGGTTCCGATCCACTTGAAAAATAATGTATTCAACTCGGTATCATCTGTTACGGTTGAATGATATGGGGCTTCCAACAATATGAAGAAGTCGAGAAATTTGAAAGATTTTTTATTCGTAAGTTATTTGCTCTTCCTAACCCTACCCCAAACTACATGATTTACTTAGAAACGTCCATTCACCTGATTTACGTGTACACCCTAAAACTTCACTTCTCATTTATTTTTAAAAATTTAATTCTCCGTACACAAAATTGGCTAAAATAACAGCTGTCAAAGTTACCAGGATTAAAGACCTCCTGGTATGCCCAATGGATTACGCTCTATGAAAGATTTGGAGTAACCTGTCCCACCTACGAAAACCTTGCTGATTGGCCAGCTCTTTTTTTTCACTTTTGCTGTCTAGAATGTTGATCGAACGGCATCGGGCGATTGTTTACTCCTGGCTCAGTCCTAGCTTAGCTTTTCCTTGACTCAACACAACACCTTACCTCTGCAGAGAGAGGATCTAAATTCTCTTAGTTTATCAGACTTAAGATGGCTAGTAAAAATCCGTTGCAAGGCCCTTAACTTGAACTCTGCAATTTGGTCGAGGGCAGGGAGGGGTTTATGCTCTCAGCACTTTTCAAGCCGTGGAAACATCATTGCATTTTATGACTGAATGTACAATATTGGGCGAGATCAGGTTGTTGGGTTTTTTTACCCTGTCTAGAAACACACTGTTAAATTTGTTGGATGGGTGGTCATCTAGCAGACCGTAACATTGATTCACAGTTTAAAAAACACTGCTATACCTTTAAAAATGTTACATAACTCTAAACGTGTTGTAATATAATTTGCAATTCATTTATATCTGTTTTATAATCACAGAATCTCAAAGCTGGCTTTTTTCGTCAGCAGCTTGTCACTAAAACGATACCCTTTTGCAATTGACATTTGAAAATGTACTTGTTTAATTAAAGATAAACGAGGCATAATGGAAGAGACAATGGAAGATTTGATGCTGGAGAAATTCTACTCACCTGATCCGACACCGGCTCTCTGCAATTGACAGGCCGTTACGAAATCCATGTGCGCCTTAATCTCAGGATAAAGCATCCTAACAATGGCTGATGTTAGAATCGACAAGAATGTGTGGAATGATGTTCGAATGCCTCGTATTATACCAACAGTCAGATTGTTGTGGTTTAAAAGAGGGTGGGGTTGTTGAGGTCGTAGATTATTTAAAACCACGTGCAGATTATTGCGATACGGACAGGGTGAACTGGGTCAGGGGTTCACCCCTTTCATAACTCTGAACTTCGCCTATCCACCCTTTTCCTCCTGCTCTGTAAATAACGCGTATCAAGTACTGATAGCTTCCTAACTTCTAAAGGTCTACCTGCCATTTTAGCTGTCGTGTAATGTTATTCCCTATCATCTGTTGAGATTGACCTTGTCCTCCGGGATGAATAGGCCTTTATATTTCCGGCTTTTATTATCCCAGTCCTCCTATGAAGTGTGCATTATATTAACCATGCAGTTTCCAGTGGAAAAACTTTTCAGTGAAGATTGTGAGAGGCTTACAGTCAGACAGACTACAGGGCAATGATAGGCTGACCAAAGTGATCAGCCTGTGTACCTCTAGGAAATATAACAAATACTTCAACGCGTACATGTCCGGTATATAGAAAAGATTTGCTCGATACCTCCCACTTAATTGATGTCATTTCTTTGCTTCAAACAGAGAACATGTAGGAATGCCACCAAATTTGAGAATTGTGCTTGAGATCAATGCTGTTTTAGTGTATATAAGTACTTGGTATGATGATGGTATGGTATTATATCTCGTTCTGATTTACTTTTTTATGTATATTGAGATTGAATGTACTTATTAGCGTGTGCAGTGCGACAAGTTCGATACTGGAATATTGCATATTACATCGACCCTTAATTACATTAGTTATATAGTATGTGTAAAGGATTTTTGTGTCCGAGATGAAGACATTGGTTGCTTGAAGTGTCATATTTAATTGAAGGGTGTCGTTCCTTGGCTCCGTACAGAGAGCCTGTTGGTATGCAACCAAATAAGAGAAATGGGTTTGAGTATTTAATTTCTGTTTTGATTTTTTGGAGGAAACAAGACTATGTTATTTTATATAGGACTTGATAGATATCTCGTTTTTTATTCCCTTTTGTAAATAAGAGATTAGTTGATTGATTGAATGTATTTATTAGCGTGTGTAGTGTGATAAGATCGATGGTGAGTTCGATTAGGTTGATGTTTAAAGGTTGATGGAAAAATATCGAGTACTTCACCATCACTCTTGAGTGAATGGTATATAAAGAAAGATGTATATATTTAAGAATGAGAGAGAATAAGACTCCTAGGCCATACGAGACTGACGCATTGACACTTACATTAGGGACCAAAGAGCGTTATGTTCCGGTACAATTGGGAACGTCGCTCGATCCCACTTAACTGAATGGTGCCATTCCTTGGTTCTATATAGAGAGCACTGTGGCGTAAAGGTATGCCATCTGATATTCAAATGGTGCTTGATCACGACAGAGGGTCTTTTGTTCTTAGAGGAAACAAGGCTCTTTCATTGTGAACACTATAATTAGTTGAAGAGCGTCATTCCTTGGCCCCATATAGAGAGCATGTAGGAATGCCACTAAGTATGAGAATCGTGCTTCAGTTTTTTTGTTCCTGTACTGATGTTTGGAGAAAGAAGGTTATAGTAGATGATGGTGTTTGGTCTGCGAGATGGCGAACTCATGTCGAGAACATGAGAAAGAAGGTTGTTTTACACTTAACCCTTTCTAACTTCAAATTTTCATATTATAAAGCATTAAAAAACTTAGGTGATGGTATGAAATATAATCAGGAAAAGAAAAAATCCTCTATATTTGAGAATTAAAAAAATATATAAAATAGGACGTTACATAAAATCCTACATGAAAATTAATTAAAATTAAATACAAAAATAAAGAATTCTTTTTTCAATTTGAGAACTTCTTAAAAATATAAAATGGGTTTCTACCTGAAATACCACGTCAAAATTAATTCCAATCACAGTTAAAACTAAGTAGCTAAATATTTATTCATTATTGTACTTATTTATTTAATGATTGAATTATTTATTTATATATTTATTATAGTTATTTATGCATATATAGTTATTACCAGATACGCTTTAAAAAGTAGTTTCTAATAACGTCATATTTTAAATATAAAATGAAATAAAAAAATTGATAGCTCTAATAGTGAAACGTAATATTTTAAAGAAAAAAGGCGCAGTTTCCGTTTTCCTCTCTTATGTTTATAAAACTGGTTATTTACCAATTTGGGCGAAGGTACAGATGTATAAAGCAGCTAAACACACAGATCTTTCTTCCTTACCTGCAAAAAAATATGAATACCAAAATCAGAAAAGTGCTTTCATATAAAACTGTCTAAATTAAAAATACTTGATACAACGATGTATTTTAATTCCATGACCACGATTTTAAAACCATTTTTCCACAAAATGAAACTAGTCCCATGAAATTACGTTTAGAATTGGTTCAAATAATTTTTGTAAAGTGCGAAATGTGTGTTTGAAGTTGGCATGGTTTGAAGAAAAGTTTTTCGTGTATTCATAAAGTTTTATTATATTTTATGGGAAAAACTACCTTCTTCACTCAAACAAATATAAAAATAAAGCGTTTTTCATGGAGGTTTTTCTTTTTTATTGTTGTTTACATCTGTAAAACAATTACAACCGTAAAAATGTTATAACAATAAAATTGACATGAAAAACATGTGCGGAGATATCACCCAGTGGTTAGCCTTCTTTAGAAAAAATAAATATGACCACTTTTCAATTTTCTTCGTCACTTAGGGCGTCACGTGGCCATCGGCGTCTCAGTCGACGGGAAGTATTATCTGGGATGATAATAGAACTGAGCTGACCGACCAAGGCATTGGGATGGCTGGAAAGGGATTGATGGAATTTTTTGTAATTGCTTTATTGCTACTTCTAGAACATAGGATTAAGGTCTCGATGTAGGGTGAGGTTTGACACATGGTTAACAATTTTTCGTAGGACTTTTGAATGGACTCTTTGGATGCGTTGGGAGTTGGAATGCTTGGTTTGACCCCAGAGCCCACATAGGTTGGAGCACCATGGTATACATCAATCTTTTGTAATTAAGTGGAAGTTTTGATCGTCTGTCGAGTAGTGGCGATAACAGTTTGTATCGTCTTTTTACTTCGTTTGGTTTTACTTTTGTATGCAGACTCCGAATAAGCCAAGGTAGAGTCCCAAAGCAATGTACGTGTTCGACAGGGGGTAGTGAAATCTCGTTAAAGTAAATAGGTAGTAATGTTATAAGTCTGAGTGAGAAGTTGATGCATGGGATCTTCGCTGAATTTATTTTAAATTTCCACTTTAGATCTTTATGCGGGAAAGGATTGCTGTGTCATCAGCAAACGTGGAGAGAATTGTTTCTGAAAAGATATGTCAGCAGTATATATAGTGTAAAGGAGTGGTCTAAGAATACTCCCTTGCGGGACGCTAGCTTGGATAGGATAGAGGATATCGTTGTGCCCTGACTAACTCTGAAGTAACGGCCAGACAGGTACGATTTTAGAATAAGGTAGTATGTGCTGGGCAGGATTTTTATGAAGTACATTGCAGAATTCAAGCTTCATCAGCAAATCCTTTCTTCCGAATCGTATTTTTTACTTTTCGGTTCACGTTTTTCCAAAACTCTTTGTTATGTAGAAACGTTTCTTTTTTCATTTTGTATAGCAATAATAGACGAACAGTCATAATGAGCATAATTAAAAAAACACCCAGAAGTTGGGAAAAATATTTTTAAAGGAAAAGTGTAACATTTTCATGTGGTATTTTATATCAGACACATTTTTTTTTAAAATGTTCAAATAAACAGGAATTGAACATTACATGCTTGTATTTTATCCCAGCTCCTAACTTTTTTATTTATTTATTTTTTTTTTTACGAGGGTTCGCAACAGCAGAGGTTATATCAACCCTCGGGGTGCCGGTGTTTTTGAAAAAAAAGCCCATTTGTAAGTATGTCGGGTTCGAATACAGGGCCGCTGGATTCGAACCCGGGACCTTCAACTTACAGTAATGAGCGCCGAGTCAACGCCGTTGCGGCCACCGACGCCCCAAAGGAAGGAAATAATGCTTTGCAATTAAAAAGTGTTAATTTGAAATTAGAAAAAAGGTTAATTTTGAATTTAAAAATGGTTAATTTGACGGGGAAAAGCTAAAGAGCTTTTTTTACCTTTTCTTTCTCATGAATATTTTTCCAGCTTTACCTTTAGCACACTTCTTGGTGGGTCTGGTTTTGGTTCCTGACCCATAGGCCGCCCGCCCCGTGGCTTTATTGGGTAGCCTGTATGTTTCCTTCTATACCTCCATGTCACGGAACCACCTCAACGTAACCTTGTATTTTCCTAGGTCCATTAATCAAAAAAGGCATTAGATTAGATCCTCGCCTTCTTATAACCCTGACTACTGAAAATGGCGAAATGCCGAAACATTTCTGACAGACCAACCCAGCGAGGGTACGCAGATCAAATAAAACATCTCGCGTAGTTTGGTCGTTTGTAAGTTAAGCACAGTCTTAATGGACGTTATTTTAAAAAACACCTAGGAGCGGAGAAATAAATATTTTCTGTAGAAGGTGTAAGAGTTTGCTATTATTATAGATTGTTGTCAAAAATGAAGGGAAGGCTATATTTCAAAAATCCCCAGCTACGAATTCGTACTGTAAAACAAATAAAACAAAAAATATTGGTATAATAGATTTTTGAGAATACGGTTCATAAAAATGGCAAATTTTGTGGCCTCTCTTTGTAAAACTACGTGCCCTTGAGGAATAGTTGAAATAAAGACAAACTTTTAGTTAGATGCCTGAACAAAACGTAAAGACTATCCAAAAAGAAACGAGCTTAAAAATAAAACTCAATAGAATTAGAAGTGGAGTTTAAAACAAAACTAGTGGAGTAAAACGAGCGGTTCGTTCGAAAAACGGTCGCCACCTTCCAAAAGGTTTTATTTTTGTTTATAAAACCCTAGCTGAAGGGTTAAAAATCTAAAAATTGTATGAAATTTAGTTAATAGTTAAATCGGATGAAATAGAAAATCGCTGAAATGAGATTCAAAGAAGCGGCTGAGAGTGAATTAGGTTAAGAATGCCGATCCGTCCAGCAAAGGAGTCAAGGACGTCGAAGCGACCACCTACTAAACTTGAATTGTAAAACCGTCTCGCAACTACCGACACAGTGAGAATTATCCTACACCAAATTGCCTATTTGAACCCTCGACCTAATCAACAGGCGAATCAACAAGTCGGTTGAGCTTGTTTACCGGATCCTTCTCAATTTCTGAGGTATCAACGTTTATCTGGGATGCTGCAGTAGCTCAGCACATTTCAACACTGTTTACAGATTATTATAACCGTACACGTCATCATTCTTTATCCGCAAGAGAAAAATAACCAGGACGTAATAAATCAAATATGAACGGAAATCAGAACTACGTCTATTTAGTGATTTTTAGCTGTCTTCGTTCAATCAAACCTCTTTGAAAAAGTGTAAAACGGAGTTGAATTTATGGCTGTTCCGGTTCGATTCCCGGTGGCAACGACGGACGATTCGATTACGCACCACAAAACCTGAAATGACCCAAACCAGTTTGTGCGGTTATGATTGTTAAATGCATAAACCGAACACTCTCGATTATTTTGAACACGTCGCCGAATTTTATTTAAAAAATTTCATTCTCATCTAAAAAAAAAAATGTTTAAAACTTTAAACCCGATACTAATCAAAAAGGAGTTGAATGAACTGACGAATACGAATTGGGAATAATAACGAACATAAACAACAAGGGGGCACAGAGATTCTATCGAATGCTTATTTATTTACATTTGGGCCAATGGCTTAACTTGCCATAAACTTATTTTCACTTAGGAGGTCGCGAAGTCTGTCGCTTCAAGCGTCGGGGAGGACCATATGGAAGGACATAAGCTGGCTTGTAAGATTGGATGGAATTAGACGATGATTCGGAAGATTTTGTATTGTAAAGATTCGATAAGTTGGAGATTTTGTTTGAACCCCAAATTTCCATATCACATGTCCAAATGGGTCTCAGAATTGTGATATAAAATGATATTTAAGAAGTCTGAATGGTTCTTATTTTTTGAGTCGCGCGTGTGGGTTCCGTGTTATTTTGTCAATGACGCAAAGTAGCTGACACATCAGCTGGTTGTCTGTTTTTTTCCTGTCACTGATCTTGATGTTTCATTCGTGAGACTCCTTTTCTAATTGACGCTTTAGTTAGGTTTTTTCCAAGTGTAAAAAGCAATCGCGTGGGGTGATTTCTAATATTTAGGTGCGACAGTCGCTCTCGGAGGTTGTTAGGATCATAATTCGTTCTTGGTTAAGGTCGATCGGCCAATATTGTATGTATTATTGGAAGGTGGTTAGCACGGAGAACGTCCTTGACTCGTTGCAGTCCGTCCAACATTCCTAACCCACATCGCAGCAGCTGTGCCCCGAGAGAAAAATAAGAGAGACGGGAAAGTCGCGCCAGTTGTCGAAAGGACGTGGAAATATTGGTTTTGAGACAATTTCCATTCCAAAATGTCTTAGACGATGTCCGATTTTTTGTTTTTTAAAACTGAAACTTTATTAAGTCCGATTAATCTAAAAGGTTTCCCATAAAAGGTTTTATTCGCATAAAATAAGTTACTCTCTTACTTCTACGTGTCGGACAGATTTATAAATTCCGGTCAGTCCATTTCCCCCGATCATGAGCCAGTCTCCGCACGTGCTCAATCCATTTCGTTTTGACCTTTTAAAACGACCAATTTCTTTCAGCATCTGCGCAGGAGTTTGTATTTTGCGACACTTTATCTTGAAGTCTGCTGGTTGATGCGATCATTTCGGTCTGAATGTGTTTATGTTTTCCCCATTACCTGTTCACGTCAGAGACCACATACTTTTCATCCCAATGGAAATTTTCCTCATCCCGATCCAAAGCCAAAAAAAACCGCATAATGCGCATTCTCCCCATCCTCCATTCCCTCAATCTTATTTGGGTTCAGACTCTCTCATTCCACTATTCAGCAGTGTCATCACGTTGTAGACATCATCGTTACAAGTCTTGAGCGAAAGGTGTGTTGCTCCGGTGTATATTGCTAGGTGTGAGGGAAGCTTTCGATGGGGGAAGGCACTCAGGGCCACTCTGGAATCTTACTAGTCCACCCTTTGGTTTGCTTTTTCTTCACCCGACTTCACCCATGAGCCGAAAGTATACTTTCGTCTAATTTAGGATCGTTTTTGTTGCCACGGTTTGATTTCTGTTGTCAGTGTTCTAGTGA